CCCCCCCCCCCCCCCCGTGCACTCCGCCCCTCCCCCAGAGCAGATCAATACAAGGAACATTTAATCTCTGCAATCCGGCAACGGAGATCCGAAAACTTCACACAGAACTCCGGGAACGCCAACAACAATACAACAACATGCACCTCAAACAAAGTGGCTTACTTTTTCTACCAGGAAGTGAAGACTGCACTGACAGCACCCGTTACTGAGACCACCTAACTATTACACACAATGTAATGTTATTCCAGCAATGACCCTCCCCCACCATGCAAGGGTCTATGAGGGCAGGAGACCTGATTTTACTCTCCTGCAGTTCAGTGACACCTCCAGGTCTTGTCCCCTCCCCCAGCCTGTGACTGGTCGGTGAGGCAGCAGACAGATGATCTCATCTCAGTCACTCTGACCTCTCCTTCTTATGGCATCTGATTGGCTCACTGTGCTGCTCCTCCAGTCTGAGTTCCAGACTGTCTGTATGTGGGATGTAGTCACCCTCCTCGGCACGTTCCAACAATGGAATACATTTGTACTTCCTGGTGCCTGCATGTAAAAGCTCCAAGTTCCCCCCTTCATCCCAGCATTGCCCAGGCAAGCACCGCACATGGGCAGAGTGACAGTGAGATTAGGAAAAGAGTGACCCAGAGGCGCATCCACCATGAAATGCACCGTATGGCGTCCTGCCCTGCTCACCTGGTCATTGTCCCATCAAGCTCCCGGTAACCACCGACAACACTGGTTGCCAGGAGCTGGTCGGGACGCCTCCCAGAGAGAAAAAAAGGTCAGCTGTCAAATCCTGCCGCCTTCACCTTTGTAACATCTCCAAAATACGCCCCTTCCCCACCAATGACACCGCAAGATTACTCATCCACTCCCTTGTTATAGCTCGTCTTGACTATTCCAGCTCCCTCCTCATTGGCCTTCCACTACACAGGCTCCTCCCCCCTTCAGTCTATCATGAATAACCAACCGCTCAGTGTCTGCAACCCCCCTCTGCCGATCCCTACACTGGCTTCCATCCCCTGCACCCTCTGCCAATCCCTACACTGGCTTCCATCCCCCGCCCCCCTCTGCCAATCCCTCCACTGGCTTCCATCCTCCCCCCCCCTCTGCCGATCCCTGCACTGGCTTCCATCTCCCACCCCCCTCTGCCAATCCCTCCACTGGCTTCCATCCTCCCCCCCCCTCTGCCGATCCCTGCACTGGCTTCCATCTCCCACCCCCCTCTGCCAATCCCTCCACTGGCTTCCATCCTCCCCCCCCCTCTGCCGATCCCTGCACTGGCTTCCATCTCCCACCCCCCTCTGCCAATCCCTCCACTGGCTTCCATCCTCCCCCCCCCTCTGCCGATCCCTGCACTGGCTTCCATCTCCCACCCCCCTCTGCCAATCCCTCCACTGGCTTCCATCCTCCCCCCCCCTCTGCCGATCCCTGCACTGGCTTCCATCTCCCACCCCCCTCTGCCAATCCCTCCACTGGCTTCCATCCTCCCCCCCCCTCTGCCGATCCCTGCACTGGCTTCCATCTCCCACCCCCCTCTGCCAATCCCTCCACTGGCTTCCATCCTCCCCCCCCCTCTGCCGATCCCTGCACTGGCTTCCATCTCCCACCCCCCTCTGCCAATCCCTCCACTGGCTTCCATCCTCCCCCCCCCTCTGCCGATCCCTGCACTGGCTTCCATCTCCCACCCCCCTCTGCCAATCCCTCCACTGGCTTCCATCCTCCCCCCCCCTCTGCCGATCCCTGCACTGGCTTCCATCTCCCACCCCCCTCTGCCAATCCCTCCACTGGCTTCCATCCTCCCCCCCCCTCTGCCGATCCCTGCACTGGCTTCCATCTCCCACCCCCCTCTGCCAATCCCTCCACTGGCTTCCATCCTCCCCCCCCCTCTGCCGATCCCTGCACTGGCTTCCATCTCCCACCCCCCTCTGCCAATCCCTCCACTGGCTTCCATCCTCCCCCCCCCTCTGCCGATCCCTGCACTGGCTTCCATCTCCCACCCCCCTCTGCCAATCCCTCCACTGGCTTCCATCCTCCCCCCCCCTCTGCCGATCCCTGCACTGGCTTCCATCTCCCACCCCCCTCTGCCAATCCCTCCACTGGCTTCCATCCTCCCCCCCCCTCTGCCGATCCCTGCACTGGCTTCCATCTCCCACCCCCCTCTGCCAATCCCTCCACTGGCTTCCATCCTCCCCCCCCCTCTGCCGATCCCTGCACTGGCTTCCATCTCCCACCCCCCTCTGCCAATCCCTCCACTGGCTTCCATCCTCCCCCCCCCTCTGCCGATCCCTGCACTGGCTTCCAATAGCGCAAAAGGATCAAATTCAGAATACTAATAATCACTTACAAAGCTATTCACAACTCCGCCCCCGGCTATATCTCCAACCTTGTCTCAAAGTATCACCCTAACCCTCCCCTCCGCTCCTCCCAAGACCTCCTGCTCTCCAGTCAACTCCTCCCATGCTCGCCTCCAGGACTTCTCCAGAGTCTCTCACATCCTCTGGAACTCTTTACCCCAACCTGTCCGTCTGTCTCCCACTGACTGCCTTTAGCGTTCATAGAACCTACCAGACCCTGACCCCTGAAGGAGTCTACGATCTCATGTCCTCCTATACACATACAAGGGCCATTGGGAAGCCAATGAACCCACCAGTATAGGTTTTTATAGCCCATGCTTGCCTCCAGGACTTCATTAGAGTCTCTCCCATCCTCTGGAACTCTTTACCCCAACCTGTCCGCCTGTCGCCCACCTTGACTGCCTTTTAAGCATTCCCTAAAGACTCATCTCTTCAGGGAAGCCGATCCCACCTCAACCTGACCACTCAACCATCACATTCTCAGACAATTCATCCCCACACAGCTCCCTCCTCATGTATCACTGGCCCCTCCCCTTTTAGATTGTAAGCTCTCAGGGGCAGGGCCCTCCTCACCATCTTGTCCTGAATTGTATTGTGATTGTAATGTCTTCCTTATATTGTAAAGCGCTGCGCACACTGCTGGCGCTATATAAATCCTGTATAATAATAATAGCCGTCTCTGTGGGTCGGCGAACATGCTCTGACCCACGCAACGGTGCCACCCGCCTTCAAGAGCCATCCAGGGCATCTGCCATGCCACTGGAGTGACCGCACTGCTAACGCTAATGGGCATGCATTAGCATTAACTCTCGGGAGATGTAGTCCGTGTAGCGCAGTGCAAGTGATTGTAATACACGTGCACTGCTCATACTGAAACCGTCAGTGCAGGGTATGCAGAACACGAGAACAGTGACTGGCATTTGCGTATTAAAATGGAGAGCTGTCCCTTCCTTTATGATGCTGCAATTGGAGACTTGGAAAAGCCCAATGACACGGACCCTTCGCCCGGGGGCCCAGAGAACACCATGCTTATTACCTGTCAGGGAACCAGGGGTACTGCTCCTTACCAGGCTCGCCAGCGGTGGCGCAGGGCACTGGGTTCCCCTCCTCCTGGCAGGACTCCGGCGGGCGTGTGCGTGTAGTACACAGGCTGTGCACGGGGGCTCGAGCGTAGCGCGCCTGCGCCATTTAGTGCTTTCAGGTGCTAGCCAGGTTGGGGGAGGTCCCCAGCACACACCATCCGCCTAGTCAGCCCTGCTATTTGCTCCTGGTTAGGGAGGCTTCCTGGTCGCCTCGGCAACCATGGTGCGGTCCTTGGGTTCCCTGTGTATTTAAACCAGACAGAGCCTTGGCTGATCGCCGAGTTATTCTATCTCTATGGTGTGATCGCCAGCCCCCTGTGTGTAAACCTGTTGCTTCCTGAACCCCCGTTATTGACCCTTCGGCCTGCCTCCTCGCTTCTGAACCTCGCTGCCTGCCTCGACCCGGACTTGGACCTGACTACGCTTTTGGATTTTCCCTCTGTACCTCGTTTTTGGTCTCTTTGTCCCTGCCAAGGGGTTCCACTCACGGCCCAGCCGTACAACCCTGACATTACCTTCCTTCCACCTGCAGCACCAGATTGCAGCCATAAGAGTCGACGTGGCATGGAGTATTGGCTCCGCGGCTCCCCACCCACAGCGTGCTCTCCCGACCTCCTCTTCCGGGGAATCCAAAATCTTCCCACAGGACGTCCTGCAAAAAAGTAAAAGCACAGTGATCGAAAATATTGCACGGAGCAAATCTAGAGAAACTTGGAGCACAGCGGCACGGTCATGCCTCCCCCTCCCTATCCTACTGGCCATTCACAAAACGAAG